ATGTTGCATTACCTTTCATATATGTTGCATTTAATATGACAGCCTTGATTTTTAATTAATACGAGTATAAATATCTTTACTAAATACACCAAGGTGCTCTGGTTACGGCTATCTTGGACACTGTCATATCCATCGATTTGATTTTTAGGGTCAATAAATATTAAAAAAACAGCTACTCTAAGCTGTAAAAGAAAGAATGGTATTTTCTGGTATGAAGGATTGGTTTGTCATTGAACGATTGATTGTATAATGGGTAAGGGTGAATTCGAATGCAATTTTTCAGGAAAACGGCCCTTTTAACCTACTTTTAGCTAATAATTAAACATGTAGATGTTTAAAAGACCGTTTTTGTAAAAACTCGCTTTGTAAAAAATTTAACGATAAATAATTCTCAATCATGATTGGCAAAATTAGGTCGACGTTACTTAAAATTTTACCACAATAATGAAATCGTAGCTACTGGCACTAGGATTATAGGATTTTAAGTCGACGACACCTCCGAAGTTCGGGTTGATAGTCATTGTCATTGCTGACGATTTTGATTGGCTGTTCTGTGTAAATAAGCTGCAGATTGACCTACATTATGTAACACATGATATAATTCTGACCAGAATTATATGCTACCAATGATATTAATCATCAACCCGAACTTCGGTGGGCGCCCTGGTGTCGTCTTTTAAGTCAGTCGATTTTTTTAAAAAAAAACTTACATCGATGGAAATGGCAGAAAGATTTGGGTGAATTAGACAATCAACAACTTTACAATAATGGATAAATCAAATTTTAAATTTCGACAAATCTAAACACTAACACTAGTAACTACCAATAAATTTAGAAAATTTGCTATTTTTAAACCAAGCTTAATAACAAATTTAATAAACTTTGTTTATTAGGTATTCAGTATATCCAGGTTCGGTTAAAATTAAAAATTTTAATGATTATCGGCAAATGCCCATATTTTTTGTTTCTGATAATATTGTATTAAAGGTCCATAAAAGTCTCAAACTACCTCTATTTAAATTCAATTACGTAATCAACACATCCATCAACCTTGTTCAAAATTCCTAAATAAGAAATATATTTCCCCCACTTTAGCAATTTCATTTATAAGACGGGCGTTCATTAAATTTATCGGTTGCAAAATGACGAGCATGAACATCTGATGCCCGAATGTTTCACATTCAAGGATTTACTCCATATAAGAAATGCATCAGAAATGTTCATGTGATATAGTATATATTAATAAAATGTTCTAATAAACTAGCGCCAAGCGTCAAACATTTATATGTATATAGTAAACCAATATCCTTTAGATTGTTGGCTTATAACCAATGAATCTTCTTATAATTGGGATACAAATTTTGTGGGCTGAAGACGGTCAGTGCGATCAAATAGAATTCCTCTTTCCTGATACTCCTAAAAAATTTTTATGATCTAGTGTAACAAGATTTACGAAATCATGCTTACAAAGTAACATTAAAAAGATTTCGTCGGACGTAATTACGTCACTAACTTTAAATAACGAATCAAATTAATATTTAATCATTTACTGCGGGTAAAACTTGGTTTCACTTCTTTACAAGAAATCATACCATTATCGTAATTTTTTTTTTATAATTATTTTTTTTTATAATTATTTTTTTTTTATAATTTATACGTAATGGTAATGAACTTAATATGGAGAATAAACCTATTTTTTCCAAATGATCTGATTGGCTGAATTGGAACATTGTTATGCGGCCCGGACCATTTATTCTTCCGAAGCAGGTTGGGTTCAAGAATTCTAAAGTACAGTAGCATTAATAGAAATACAATTTAATTAAAAACATTTACGATCTGTTAAACCAACTCTAAAAATGTTTTAATTCTATTTATAGACTTTTGATAATCCAAATTCTAAATGTTATATAAATAAATACATAAATACTAGATATAGGTATTGTTGTTTGTGCTCGTAACCACAGGAATGGGTCCTGATTATATACATTCTAATTTGATTAATTTTTATGCAATCCTTTTTCTGATATTCTTGTGGTTGGACTAAATAATGTAGGAGTTTGCGCTTGTCTATCCTGGTTTGAAATTTCGAACGGCTTTAAAATATAAAAAAATCCATTTTTCTCCTTTTTTCTTTTCCATATATATTTCTATTTTATTTGTTGAATATTTCTTATTTCTTGTTTCTTTTTATTGCCTTATGTTTTCGTTACGATATTTCTTATTTACTAAGTCATAAAGCGGAAAAAATTTATCTTCCTCTTATTCCAGCTGATCAACATATATAATTTATACTACTCAAGGTTAAGTTCCTTCTTTTAAAAGGCAAGTTAATATTGTGTACGTATAAGACCAATGCAAGTTTTTATACCCTTTACTATAAATAGTAGCTAAATTTTATGCAGCATGTAAAACTGCTTTTTAATACATCATTATTGTACACAGAAATATTCGAGTGCCACTGTTTTTGCATTATTTTATTCTATGTGCTGTTCGTTTTCTAGAGTATATTTTCCTCCCTTACCCTTTTTTATTCTGTTTTTTTCTTTACACTTTAACGTTTTAATTTTTATCTCCTTTTATTAAAGTGCTAATATTAGACTTGTTGGTGTCTGTTTAAAATACTTCTTAACCCACTAAAAATGGGTAAAAAAAAAAATTCTTCCTCGTCGAGCGAGGAAAAGTCTGACCTTTGTAAAATACAAAATATTTCTCAAGACTCCATAACTGCTACGATTCGTGAACGTTATCAACATGACTTTATATACACTCGTTTAAACTGTTCTGCTCTTGTTGCCGTTAACCCTTATAAACCTCTACCCATCTTCAACGATTCAACTGTCCAAGAATATGCTGCTGACTATAAAGACACTTCGGGTCAAAGTACTTCTCTACCTCCTCACGCCTTTCAAATTGCTTCTCATGCTTATTTACATATGCGACGTACTGGTCAAGACCAATCTATAATATTAAAGTATTTACAATATATATATATATATAATTCATTAATACTTTTTCATTTATTATTAATTATCTAATTATTTTTTTTTTCTCTAAAAAAAGTGGTGAATCTGGGAGTGGAAAATCTGAAACTAGAAAACTTTTAGTAAAACAATTAACCGCTCTAAGTGCTCATCAAAAAAAAGCTTCTCGTATTCAAACTCAGGTCCCTTGTTCGGAGTTTATTCTGGATTCTTTTGGTAACGCAAAAACTTGTTCCAATATTAATGCTTCTAGATTTGGAAAGTATACCGAACTTCAATTTAATGAACGTGGAAAATTAATCGGTGCTAAAACTCTTGATTACCTTTTGGAAAAAAATCGTGTCTCTAATGTTCCTTCAAATGAACGAAACTTTCATGTTTTTTATTATTTAATCGCTGGTGCCTCTCAAGAAGAAAAAGCTCATCTTCATCTTACTGAAATTTTTAATTACCGTTATCTTAATGTCGCTAAAGGTTCTAAATCTTCTGTTGAAGATGTCGATAATTTCAATGAATTGAAACAGGCTCTAAAATCTCTTGGTTTTCATAAAAAACATGTCGCTCAAATGTTTCAACTTTTGGCTTCAATTTTACATTTGGGTAATATACAATTCGTTCAAGATTCTAATAAACAAAAGGAGGCTGCTTCCGTTAAAAACTTGGACGTTCTGAACTTGGTCGCTGACTTCTTAGGCCTCGATCCTCGTTCTCTAGAAAATGTTCTCACTTATAAAACAAAATTAATAAAAAAGGAAATATGTACTGTATTCTTAGATGCTGATGCCGCTTCCATACAACGTGATGACTTTGCAAAGGCTCTTTATTCTTTATTATTCAGCTGGATCGTTGAATACATTAACACTAAACTTTGTCAAGATGATTTCGTTAGTTTTATCGGTATCTTGGATTTAATTGGTTTTCAAAATTTACAATCTAATTCTCTGGATCAATTCTGCGTCAATTTTGCAAATGAAAAAATTTTTAATTTCACTTTAAATCAACTTTTTGAGGCTCGTAAAGAGGAATTTCAATCTGAAGGCATCAATTTTTCCGATATACCTTATCCTGATAATAAAGAATGTTTACGTATGATCGCAAAACCTTCCACTGGTTTAATTTCCATCATGAACGATCAAGCTAACAAATCAAATCGTAAAACTGATCAAACTATGTTGGATGCTTTCAACAAAAAATATTCTGAACATGGTTCTTTCATTCCTACTGGAAAAAGTTTGAACTCTCTTCCAACTTTTGGCATTCGACATTTTGCTGGTCAAGTCACTTATGATAGTTCTGGTTTCCTTGAAAAAAATATTGATAATCTTGGTGCAGATTTTGTTTCTCTATTTCGTAGTAGTGAAGGTTCAATTTCTTCTAGTAATCAATTCATTGCTGGTCTCTTTACTGATAAAGCTGTTGCTACTGAATCTCATCCAAGGAATGATGATACTATTGTTGCTGCTCAACAATCTGTTAAACCTATGCGTGCTCCTTCAATGCGTCGTAAAAAAGATCAATCTGTTTCGGATTCTAGTAAACCTAAAGTAGCTTGTGTTGCTACTCAAATTTCTTCTGCTCTTGATGAATTATGTGAAACTTTTGAAGAAACAACTCCTTGGTACATTTTCTGTATAAGACCTAATGATGCTCAACTTCCTAACAATTTTAATCAAAATGTTGTACAAAACCAAGTAAAATCTCTTGGATTACCCGAAATAGCAAAAAGATTACAAACTGAATATACTAATGGAATGATGCATCTGGACTTTTTAGAAAGATATTTAAATGCATTAGATTCTATAGGATTAGATCAATATAAAGATCCGAAAGCAAAATGTGATGCTGTAGCTAATGGTTTTGGTTGGAATATTGAAGATATGGCTGTAGGATACAATAAGGTATAATTATTATTACTATTATTATTATTATTATTATTATTATTAGCATTTTGTTATCATTTTAAATCATTGCTTTTATTAAACAACTTATTTACCAATTTGTTCAATTTCTTTGTTTAATTTCTTAGACTTATTTAAGTGAAAAAGCTTGGCGTCATTTAGAAGATATGCTTAGGAGATTGGATAATGAAGAAAAACGAAAAAAGAAATCCGATAAAAAAGGCATCTCATCGATGCATGATAACGGTCAAGATGATGCTATGTCTCAGGATTCATACCCTTCAAATCAAGAATTATATGCTGGTCCTCGTCGTCTTTCTCCTCCAAGAAATTTCGATCAACAATCTTTCTATTCTGGTGATGATAATCGTTCAAATTATTCTGATGATTATAATGAAAGTTACAGTCAATATGGCGAAAGCGTTTCCCATGGTTCGGAAATATATGCTCCTTCGCATAATATGTTTGGTGGAATTAATGCTGGTAGAACTATACCTGAAAAAGAACCAATTTTGGAAGAGGAACCAGAAGAACCTCGTAAGACTTCTGCCGCTCGTAAAAAATGGGTATTTCTTACTTGGCTAATTACTTGGTGGATCCCTCCATGTTTCTTAAAATGGTGTGGTGGTATGAAGCGTAAAGACATTCAGATGGCTTGGCGTGAAAAGGTTGCCCTTTGCATGCTTATATTTCTCATATCTTGCGCGGTTATCTTTGTCATCGCTGTCTTGGGTCTTTTAATTTGTCCTAGAGTTTACATTTACACTGACGAGGAAGTTAGTGAGCATAGTGTTGATAAAAGTCCCGACAATGTCTATGTATCTATTCGAGGTGAAGTTTACTCCTTGAGCAGTTTTGCTCCTCGTCATATACCAACTCTCGTTGATCAGAAGTCAATATTAAGTTATGGTGGTACCGATGCAACAAAACTATTTCCCGTTCAAGTTAGTGCTCTTTGTAGTGGTGTTGACCCTAGGGTAACTTTTGATTATAATCTTGGCAATAATGCGGATCCAAATGCTAAATATCATGACTTCCGTTACTTTACCGATGATTATCGACCTGATTGGTATTATGAAGAAATCTTATTGAAAATGAAAGCTCAATATTTAGTTGGTCAAAAAGGTGTTCCTCCACAATCAGTAAAAGATATGGCTACTGTTGCTAAGAAACAGGTTGCCATTCTTTATGATAATGTGTATGATCTTACATCTTATGTCATGAGTGGTCGTGGTGCTCTTGGCCCTGGAGGTGAAAATGTTACGGATAATGTAAACAAAGATTTTATGAATTCGATGATTGTTGGTCTTTTCACTACTAGTAGTGGTTTAGATATCAGCAAAAAATTCGATGCTCTACCTCTTAGTAAGGCCGAAAAATCAGATCAATTAACTTGTTTACGTAATTTATTCTATATTGGAAAAGTGGATCATCGTAATTCCCCACAGTGTCTTTTCTCAAATTATGTTTTAGTCGCATTTTCTGGAGCTTTGGTCGCTGTAATCTTATTCAAATTCTTAGCAGCTTTGCAATTAGGAGCTAGAAGAGAACCTGAAGAACATGATAAATTTGTCATATGTCAGGTCCCTTGTTATACCGAAGGTGAAGAATCAATGCGCAAAACTCTGGATTCTTTAGCTGTTTTAAGATATGATGATAAACGAAAGTTATTATTCATTATCTGTGATGGTATGATTGTTGGTGCTGGAAACGACCGACCTACACCACGTATCGTTTTAGATATATTGGGTGTTGATCCAAATATGGATCCGGAACCTCTCAGCTTTTTGTCTCTTGGTGATGGTGCTAAACAACATAATATGGGAAAAGTTTATTCTGGATTATATGAATGTAATGGGCACGTTGTACCTTATCTTGTGGTAGTTAAAGTTGGTAAACCATCAGAACGATCTCGACCTGGTAACCGTGGTAAACGTGATTCTCAGATGGTACTTATGAAATTCCTGAATAAGGTACATTTTAACTCTGAGATGACTCCCTTGGAATTGGAAATGTATCATCAAATCAAAAATGTTATTGGTGTAAATCCTAGTTTCTACGAATACATACTTATGGTGGACGCTGATACTGAGGTTATGCCAGATTCATTAAATCGTCTTGTGTCTGCATTCATGCATGATACCAAAGTAATGGGTCTTTGTGGTGAAACAACTCTTTCTAATGAAAAAGACTCTTGGGTTACTATGATTCAAGTATACGAATATTATATATCCCATCATCTCTCTAAAGCATTCGAGTCTCTTTTCGGTAGCGTCACCTGTTTGCCCGGCTGTTTCTGTATGTACCGGGTTCGTACACCTGACACACACAAACCTTTATTAATTAGCAATCAAATTATTGAAGATTATTCTGAGAATAGAGTTGATACTTTACACTTGAAAAATTTACTTCACCTTGGTGAAGATCGTTATTTGACGACACTTATGATGAAACATTTTTCACATTACAAGATGACATTTGTTCCAGATGCACAGTGTAAAACTACAGCTCCGGATCAATGGTCTGTTCTTATTTCTCAACGTCGTCGATGGATTAACTCTACTGTTCATAATCTCATGGAATTAGTATTCTTGCCACAACTTTGCGGTTTCTGTTGTTTTTCAATGCGTTTTGTTGTTATGATTGATTTATTCGCAACCCTTATTATGCCAGCCACCGTTGCGTATCTTTGTTATCTGATCGTTCAAGTTATAAGGGATCCAACAACTCTACCTATCTTGTCATTAGTGTTGCTTGCTGCCGTTTATGGTTTACAAGCGGTCATATTTATTCTTCGCAGGAAATGGGAGCATGTTGGTTGGATGATTGTTTATATCCTTGCTATGCCTGTTTTCTCTTTCTACCTACCAGTCTATGCATTCTGGCATTTTGATGATTTCTCATGGGGTAACACCCGTGTTATTGTTGGAGAAAAAGGCAAGAAAACGGTGGTATCTGACGAAGGAAAATTTGATCCAAAGACTATTCCTAAAAAGAAGTGGTCTGATTACGAACAAAAACTATGGGAAGTTAATACGCAAGGATCTCATGATTCCTCACACACCAGGGTTTCGGACCGTTCGTATCGATCAAATAAGAAGTTAGGGTCTGCTCCTGGATCCCAGGCTGGCTCCGTTTATGGTGATTATGATGAACGTGGTGGAATGAAAAGTCGTTCGCGTTCGCCGGCACCTCCGTATATTGATGATTTTAGATCTGCTTCTCCATATAATGGAGGTGATGTGCGATCCCGCTCACGTCATGGAGATTCGGCAAGTCATCGAGGATCAACACTCCTACGTACTGACAATGATCTTTCTGGATCACGGCCTTCTAGTCTTATAGAAGCAGGATATTACGGCAGTTCAATAATAGACAGTGGTTTTCCTTCTGATGATGAAATTCTTCAAGAAATTCGAAATATATTGTCTGTCGCCAATCTAATGACAGTAACAAAGAAACAAGTACGAGATGATTTATCCAATTTCTTTGGTATGGATATGAGCTCAAAGAAAGAATACATTAATAATTGCATAGAATTAATACTTCAAGGAAAGCTTTAATCAAACACTTTACAAAGACAAGCTAGCTTTTAATATTTTTTGTACTTTTTGATTCATGAAAACTTTAGCAACAAGTTTGTTTTAAGAAACATAAAATACTGTGATTAAGGTTTTGAACAAAATTTAAAAAATGTAAATTCGTCAATTTGTGTAATTTATGAAAATCATAAAATTTTGGATGTGTGATTGCTACGTAAATTACGCGTAACATGCGATTTTTTTAACAAAATTTAATTCTGTAATATTAGAATAAGGTTAGTTTTAGAGCTTAAAAAACATAGTTTATTCTAAAATTTGCAAAAAATCTTTTTTTTTTTTGTTGAAACCCCAAAATGGCATTATTAACAAAATTTTTGATATTCATACGTATGTACAGTACATACACAGTGTATAAATAGAAATTCTCAAATTTATAATAAATTATGGGTGGTTAAAATTTATAACTTTAACCATGGTTAAATTCTTTTTTTAAATTATAAAATTTTATTATTGAAATTATTTTTTGTAATAAACAAATAAAAGTAAATATACCAATCACACATTGTAAAAAACTTTTTTACTAAAACGCTAAACTACTACAGTATTTGTATACATCATTTAGTAAATATCTAGGTTTTTATAAATAGTATATATATAAAAAAAAAACCACAATAAATCTTCTCAATCTAGACTAGAATAACCTACAAAAAAAAAATAATGTTCACTTTTTATTAATAGCCTATTTAAATGTAAATAGTTAAAATATTTGATGTTTTAAATTGCTACTTTTAAAAGAGTCGTTAATTGAGAGCTAAATTAAAATATATTAAAACGACTAATGAAAAGATGAACAGATCTTTCGTGTTTTTAAG